TTTACCTCCCCTGGTCCAGGAACACTCCCATATAGATTTAACAAATGAAGGTGGCCTTTTTTTAATCTGTAATTTTGTTTAAAAGAAGGGATTTCTGTGGAAAAGAAATAGCTAAATAGCCCCAAAATGTCAATCAAAACACCCACACACATTTGTGATGCAGCACTACAACCAGCTATGTTTATGAAAAGGAGAAGAAGAAGCTATTATTGGTGGCACAAGGGCTCCCTTGTGGATTTTAAGGTTTGCGAGGTTCTTTGCAGCTCAGAAGAAAAGCGTCCTATGACTTTAGAAGCCAGGCATCCTCTGCCAGATTCCCAGGAATCCTCCATAAACCTTCTCTGAGGCTAATGCTCAGACTCTGATCTACAAAACAAAGAAGAAACATTCACACTCTAAGTTTCTATCCATTAAAACAAGAACAACAAAATATTTCATCTCAAATGCTTCCTCGTCACTGAACAGTGAGTGCAGATACCCCAGGCTGATGCCAGAGTAGGAGATGCATTTTCCAGGCTGCAACAGGCTGCTACAGAGTTGTAATGAACATAGTCAGTTGTATTGAAAAACATGAGTCTAGACTGGCCAGTTTTTCCGGAAAATCAGCCACTTTTCCGGAAAAACTTGCCAGCTCTCTATACTGACCACTTGAATTTCCACGAAAGCACTGACTTCCTACTGTAAGAAATCAGTGCTTCTTGCGGAAATACTATGCTGCTCCCGTTCAGGCAAAAGTCCCTTTTGCACAAAGCTTTTGTGCAAAAGGGCCAGTGTAGACAGCTCAGATTTGTTTTCCGCAAAAAAGCCCCAATCGCGAAAATGGCGATCGGGGCTTTTTTGCGGAAAAGCACGTCTAGATTGGCATGGATGCTTTTCCGCAAAAAGTGCTTTTGCGGAAAAGCGTCCGTGCCAATCTAGACACTCTGTTCCGAAAATGCTTTTAACTGAAAACTTTTCTGTTAAAAGTATTTCCGGAAAATCATGCCAATCTAGACGCAGCCGAGCTGTCTGCCCACCTGGGTCCCGAAGAAAATGTGCCAGACTTCTGAACATGGGCCTCCCCTCCCTGTACCTCTAACTCTCCAGTAAAGGAAACAGAGTCTCATTTTCTAACAAAAACCCATCCTGTAACATTCCCCAAATGTAAAGGGACAAACAACAAATATAGCTCTTGGGTGATTAATAACTCCCCAGCAAATTCAATATGAATGTGGCTATAAATATGATGTACAGTATCACATGTGGATTCTGAGCTTACCCGGCTCCGTCTACAGCAGATCCTTCCACGACTGCAAATTCCAATCCTTTTATAAGGGTAGTAACATTGACGGGCACAATTACCTGCAGCCCTTTCACATGCTCGGTCCCCAGTGTTAAACTGGGTGAATCCTGCACAGGGAAAAGAGTCAGATCAAGTCCCTGCTAAAATCCATGCTATGGTAGAAAAGAAGTTGGGAAAATATAATACAGTGTTCTAAAATTTTAGAACAGACTCACAAAAGTCTCTCTACATTATCCCTTCATTTCATTATGCTCTTACCTGGGGAGCTTTGCAGCACCAAGAGGAAGACAGCAAAGAGAAGGTAGAGAATCTTCATGGCTGAAGGTTGGCTGAAATCCCGAGGTTGCTGGAGAGAAAAGACCCCAAATTAGAGATCATATGGAACTTCTCTACTTATGGGCTGCTGGGGGTTGCGAAATGTGGAACTGTTGAAATTTTGTTTTGAAACACTGTACGTTTATCTAGTCTGTGCTGCAATTGGTTAATAATAATGATTATTATTTGTTCACCTCCATAAACGTTCCTGGAGAATTGCAGGAAAAGACAGTTAAAAATTCCTTTCCTTGACTAGTTGCAATATGCATATTTCCACCTAGAAAACATATGGAAATGTTTAAAAGTCCTGTGAAGACAATGAAATGCTTCCCAATACATTTAAATGAGGGTCTAATTTCTGAGAGAAATTCTAGACCACAGCTGTCCCTTGGAAACTTTGACAATAAAGGTATGTCTACACTGCAGAATTTTTCTGGAAAAATGGCCATTTTCCCAGAAAAAGCTACACTTCTATGTACACTGCTATAGCATTCTTTGGACAGAAAGTCAAAAACCAAGGAGTTTTTCTGACTGTGGTAAACCTCTTTCTACAAGGAAGAAGCCTTTTTTTGAAAGAGCACTTTCAGAAAAAGGCATGTGTGGAGAGGAAAGAGGGATTTTTTTTTTTAAAGAAAAAGCCTCCAGGAAAAAGCACAGGTGCCCTGGTGGCCAAGCTGTCCATAGTAATCACAACTTAAATGTGAGACAGTGCCCAATCAATTACTTTTTCGATGCGCCTTTTCTGTGAGGACACTCTCTTCTGGACAATCTTCTTCCGAAAGAAGCCTACAGTCGAGACATAGCCTAAGTGTGTGCATCTGTTTGTTTGTTATGTACAATAGTTAATGAATATTTCACATGTGTTTGGGGAATTTTTTAATTTCACACATCCAAGCCAATAAACAGAGGCTAAAAATCATGGTTAAAATGAAAGATAAAATAAACAAAATTTCCCTCATGGTGTGTCAGAAAGATATTGGTCTGGAGTTATTTTCCCTATATATTCAAACTAAGGAATTTTACCTTTAGTAAAATGCGTAAACCCTGTATTTTTTTCTCTCCTCCCACACGCTGCATACCAAGCATGAACTTTAACAGTAGGCATCTAAGATGGAGACATATAATACTGATGCATCAAACATGTGGAGGACACTGGTACTTGCATTTGACCAGCTACACTTCGGATTTGTTTAATTCTACTTGGAAGAAGCTAACTGGAAGTGACTGGGTTTCCGTTGTGGCCAGGTATATTTCTGAAAATGTCTAAGGGTGCTATGGAGGCTTGGACACCCGAAACTTTCTTGTGGGATTCATGGAACCCTTTTAGAGCTTCACAAACATATTTATGGGTGTGTCTAGACTACATGGCTGTGTCTAGACTGGCACGTTTTTCCGCAAAAGCAGCTGCTTTTGCGGAAAAACTTGCCAGCTGTCTACACTGGCTGCTTGAATTTCCGCAAGAACACTGACGATCTCATGTAAGATTTTCAGTGTTCTTGTGGAAATGCTATGCTGCTCCCATTCAGGCAAAAGCCTTCTTGTGCAAATGCTTTTGCGCAAGAGGCCCAGTGTAGACAACTCATTATTGTTTTGCGCAAAAAAGCCCTGATTGTGAAAATGGCGATCGTGGCTTTCTTGTGCAAAACCGAATCTAGATTGGCACGGATGCTTTTGCGCAAAAAGTGCTTTTGCGGAAAAGCGTCTGTGTCAATCTAGATGCTCTTTTCCGCAAATGCTTTTAATAAGCATTTGCGGAAAATCATGCCAGTCTAGACGTAGCCCGTGGGTCCATCGATGGAGCCATGTAAAGTAGTTTATTCAGCATAGTCAAACCATTAAAATAAAAATGGTTTCACAAGGCATACCAGAGTGGTTGACAAAGGCTTCTCTTGTCGACCGTACCGCATCTAGACTACCACGCTGTGTTGGATCATCTGATCGTCGGCACAGTGCGGCGGCCATTTTTATTTTAATAAAGCAGGGATTATTTAAATCTCTGCTTCTTTGACTATGCTGAGTAAACTATTTTACATGGCTCCATCCATGTAGTCTAGACACACCCTAGAATACACCCTCCCCCCTTCTTCTACCTCTTTACTCCTATTTCTGACCATTCATTGTCACCAAATAAAAAGTGATTCTGGAAATGTGCAAAATTTCCTTTGGTTTTCCTGCCTGCAACCACAGGCCAGTGGTTTCCCATTCTCTCTTCTCTGAATAGTGGGAATGAGACGAGGCTTTAAGAACAGTTTGGGAAAACAGCTGCTAGGCTTCTTTCAGGTTTACTTGGTCCTGTTTCAGAGCAGGAAGCTGGGCTTGATCACCCACTGAAGCCCCTTTCATCCTTCATGGCTAGGATTCTGACAGACTTTATACACAGAGTAGTAACAGAGATGTAGCTGTGTTAGTCTGGTGTAGCTGAAAAAAAAACCAGGACTATGTAGCACTTTAAAGACTAACAAGATTCTTTATTAGGTGATGAGCTTTTGTGAGCCAGGTCCGCTTTTATTTCTCCAGGTGGGTAATTGATAAATCTCTACCAACATTAATAAACCTCAATTACCCACCCGGAGAAATAAAAAAACAAATTAGAGCTAGACAAATACCCAGAAACCATCTACTTCAAGACAGACCCAAGAAAACCAACAATAGAACACCACTTGTCATCACCGATATGAACCCACTAATGAAAATCACATTCGTTCCCCAAGACCCCCACTCCTTTGAGGCCCCATCCTCTCTGTTCCCCTCCTCTCCATCACTTGCTGGGTTGAGACAGGAGGTGCGGGCTCTGGGGTGGGAATGAGGGATTTGGGTGTGGGAAGGGGTGAGAAGTGCAAGCTCTGGGAGGGAATTTGGATGCAGGAGATGGTGATGCTGGCTCAGGGAGTGTGCTCAAAGCTGGGGAGTGTTGGGCTCAGGTGGAAGGTTGGGGTGCCGAGCAAGTCACAGGCTTGTGGATGTGAGGGTGCAGGAGTTTGGGTTGGATATGTGAGGGGCTCAGGGCAAGGAGGCTCTGAGTATGATGGGCTCAGGACACTCATTTGCCAGTTTTATTCAATAAACCCAGTTTCTATTTTTGAACACACGTGTCTTTTGTTTGACATCAGGAAGGGGGTTAGGAGGGATAAGTGGAAGGACATGAGGGAAGAATGGGGCACGAGCCCCCGGTAGGGAGGACCGGGGTGGCTCTGAGGGCTCCTCGGGGTGGACGCTCTCCTGCAGGGCCTCCTGGATCCTGACAGCCCTCTGCTGGACCCCCAGATGGCAGCCTGCAGCAAGTGCAACCGGGCTGATGGCAACGCCCCCACGAGACTCACAGGCATGCCCAGGGGCAGCTCTGGATCCATGTGGCTGAGTGTTGTGATGTCCCTAGTGTGGGCACTAAGGGAACTCCAAGACAGGGCTACTTTGGTGTCCCTCATCGAGGTAGACAAGCAAGCAGGGAACCCTGAGAACTGCCTGTCCGGGGTGGGGGTAGGGTCCCTTTAAGCACGGAGCTCAGCTAGCCTGAGGCAGCAGCCCCACACACTAAGTCCTAACCTGATGCCCTGCTGGCACTGGTTCCAGCCTGCCTTAACTTCTGTTCAGGGTCCACTCAGTGTGGACACGCTTTTTCAAAATAGCAAAACGTTATTTCAAAATAGTTTTTGTGTATAGATGCGTTATTTCGAATTAGCTTAATTTGAATTAACTATTTTGAATCAAGTTAACTCGAATTAGCGCAGTAGTGTAGACATACCCTATGTCAAACTCAAAAGGTTTAGCATTGTCTTTATTTATGAGAGGGGCTAGGAACCTATTTTGAGTCAGGGGTCACTGACCCACACAAGTGAGATGCAACCCCCCCCCCAAGCCTCACTAATGTGGTCCCAACAGTGCTGGTGCGGGCAGGAGACAGGGTGCTAGTAGGATCTGGAGCCAGGGAGAGGGTGCTGCTGGGTGGCAGGATGCTGGCACAGGTGGTGGGGGTTTACAGGTTTACAGGAGCTGTCAACAAAGACTTCCCTTGTCAATCAATCCACGTCTAGACTACCGCGCTGTGCCGGATCAGCTGATTGTCGGCACAGTGCAGCAGCCATTTTTATTTTAATGAAGCGGGGATTATTAAATCCCCGCTTCATTGACTATGTTGGGTAAACAACTTTACATGGCTCCATTGAAGGAGCCATGTAGTCTAGACTCACCCCCTGAGTTTAACCCCTTAGTCACCGGATGTTGGCCAGCACTCCTCCTATTCATCACATGTCCCAAGAATTTTGCAGCAACCACTGTGGCTTAATATGTCTTATGCAAACTAGGATGATGGAATTTCACAGAAACAAAATTGTGAGCATTCCTGAGTTCCAGCCGTGGTTAGACATTTCAAATCTCCACTCAAACCAGGGCTCGTTGTGTTTTTTCTTAAACCTCCATTTCTCTGATTCTAAAAAATGTTACAGAAAGAATCTATCTTGATTTCAAAATTGGCCTCTCTGAGACTGAAACAGCCATAGGGGAAAGATACAAAGTCATGTCAAGTTGGTCAAAGAATGCAACAGAGGGAGGGCAAGGGGAAGTTGCCTGATGAAGAATGTTGTTGACCAGAGTTAAACCAGTACATTTTCGTTATATGTCCCAAGATATTTTGCACAAACTATGTGTTTTACATAATCTGGACTGGCGAATGAGGAAGAAAGAAAGAAAAAAAAGAAAAAAGAAGGGGTAACGATGAAGACTGAAAAGGGAAGTATTTAGGGAGAGAAAGGAGAGGCGGGAGGGAGGCAGAGAAGAGGGTGCAGGAAAGAAAAAGGGAAGGAAAGGAGGTAAGAGCCACAGGAGTCAGGTGTCCACTCAGAGCTGCTTGATTACTTCCTAGTGCTGACATTGCAGCATTTTGCTATATAAATATCATGTTTTCTTCTTTAATGAAAGACTCCTATTATAGACAGATGCAATGTTTGCCAGTAGGGATGTATTGCTCCGTAGAGGTGCTCAGCGTGGGGTTCATTTTTCTTACACTAGTGAGTGGCATCTTGAGCCAATTCTCTTCTGTATTTTTTGGAGGAACCACTGGATGTTGACTCCACCTTTCTTGCTCCCTTCGTCACCTGACAGAAGTTGCTTTGGCAAAGCAGGACTGTCCGCTAATTACCAGGGCACAGTTAGTGTTTCTGTGCAATTATGGTCTTCTTCTGATGGTGCTCCCCACTCCCCTGCTAATCATTAGACATCATCAGAGATCAATGAGCCCTTCTTACAATAGGTGCCCCTCGTAAATAAAGATGTCTCCATGCAATTGTCTACAAGCAGCTTATCTGGCCTTAGTCAGACTTTATGACATGTTAGAAAACTTACCCAGGCCTGCGTCTGGCCTGGGATCATGGGGGCTACTTCGCCTGCTTGCTGTTTTTCCCCTGGGGCCAGCCTGGGAGCTTCATGGCTTGATTGGCAGCCACTCTCTGGGGACAGCTTGGTGAGGCAGGGGATATGCTCCTAGCCAGTGACTGCTTCCCAGGGTTGGGCTGCTTGAGGCCCCTGGTGGTCATTCATGAGTATAACTCTCCCCACTATCAAACTCCTCCCTTTCTGTTTGATGTGAAACAATCACATTCCACATACATCCCAGGGTGTGTCTAAACTACATGGCTCCATCGATGGAGCCATGTAGATTAGGCTGATTGGCAAAGGGAAATGAAGCCATGATTTAAATAATCGTGGCTTCATTTAAATTTACATGGCTGCTGCGTTGAGCCGACAAACAGCTTATCAGCTGTTTGTCGGCTCAGCGTGATAGTCTGGATGTATAAATACATCAAAGGTATTTGTCGACCACCAAGGTATACCTCATCTCAGGAGGCATACCTGGGTGGTTGACAAATACCTTTGATGTCGACACCTGCGCGTCCAGACTATCGCGCTGAGCCGACAAACAGCTCGGCTCAACGCGTCAACCATGTAAATTTAAATGAAGCCGCGATTATTTAAATCGTGGCTTCATTTCCCTTTGCCGAACAAACAAATCTACATGGCTCCATTGATGGAGCCATGTAGTTTAGACGTACCCTCTGTGTCCTAACACAATCAAAACCTGACCATGCATTGAGGTAGGACAAGATGGCGCTGAAGCTAAATTTGATGGTCCTCACTCATAGGCTATGTCTACACTGGCACATTCTCACAAAAAAACTTTTGCGGAAGAGTTCTTCTGCAAAAACTCTTCCAGACGAGAGCATCTACACTGGCATGTGCTTTTGCGCAAGAGATGGGCTTTTGCACAAGAGCATCCATGCCAGTGTAGACGCTCTCTTGCGCAAGAAAGCTCTGATGGCCATTTTTAACCGTAGGGCTTTCTTGCACAAGAAATTCATGTTACCTGTCTACACTGGCTACTTGCGCAAGAACAGTTGCGCAAAAGGGCTTATTCCTGAGCAGGATCATCAGAGTTCTGGTGCAAGAAGCCCAGATTTCATACATTAAAATGTCAGTTTACTTGCGCAAGAACATGCGGCCAGTGTAGACAGGCAGCAAGTTTTTGCCCAAGAGTGGCCACTTTTGTGCAAGATCGCGCCAGTGTAGACACAGCCATAATGTTTAGGAGGAATTCTTGAAGAAATGGACACATGGACGGAGAGACACATGGACAGAGATTGTACAAACTCTCTAAAATATATGGTAGATAACTGGACTTGTTTTAGAGACTTTTGCTTTTCATTGGCTTCGTAACATATTACCTTCTGCAATATAAATCAAGGGTCTTTTTCCCTTTATGAAATATTAGTTAAACATGAGTATATATTACATGTTCACAATTATAACTTACGGTAAATAGATAGCATTTAGGAGTTGTTTGCAACACGCTTTGAGTTCATCTCTCCCTGACAGTAAAAACCTTAAACTACACACCCTTGTTGAAGAATCATCTTTTTAGAGCTTTCAAATTTGTATATAGTTTTTTAAACTTTTATTGACAGCCTTACATTTTACCTCACATTTCCCATTAAAACTATATACCTTGTACTGCCAAATTAAGTAAGACTTTTATTTACCCTATCTCTCTCATAAGCTTCTTGACACAAAGGAGATAACATTGGGAAAAAGATAAAGGGTATGGGGTCAGCTTAGCTAGAAACTGCTCCTATAGTGTAACCCTTCTATGAAAATCAGAAGCAGCCTGTGTAATTGCATATATTTTAAAGGTCCAGGCCTAAATCATTCCAAGGACTCTGGCGTATTCATGCATTCAAATGACATTATTGACTACTAGACCTCCTCACTACCAGCCCCATGCCCTCAAGGATGTGGCCAACACTGGATGTTTGCCTGAGGCATTTGCGATTTGTGCTGCCATTCCGGTTCCTGCTCTGGAACCTGATTTGATGGCACACGGCCCTGTCTGGAAGATCATGTAAAAGAAAGGGGCCTTCATGTGGGGGAGGTTTGGGAAGCGAGGCGAGCGGAGAGAGGAAAAACCTGCTCTTGAGCACTGCCATGGGTTGTCAATACTGCGCATCCACATTGTGACTGAACCCAGCTCCTCTGAACACAGCACAAATTAAGGGCTTCGTAAAAGGATGAAGGAAGAAGCAAAGATTTATCCACAGGACGTTAGGGAAACTCATAAATACGTACGTATCCTGCTCTAGGAACACCCCCAGCTGCAGTTACCAATAAAGATAGACTTTTATTTCATTTATATACAGTTTAAAAAATGATTTTTATGGAAAATAAATAGCAACAAGATGCAAAAGTATCTGTCAAAGCACTGATGCTGCACTACAGTGAGCTACTTTTATTAGAAGTTGAAGAAGAATCTAGTAGAAGTGACACAGGGGCTCCCATGTGGATTTGAAGGTTTGCAAGGTTCTTTGGAGCCCAGAAGAAAAGCGTCCAAAGACTTTAGAAGCCAGGCATTGACTGCCAGATTCCCAGAAATCTTCCATTGACAATCTTCACTGCCATCGCTCACTTTCTGCTCTACAAAAAAGAAAGAAACTTTCATGCTCTAGGTTTATACCCATTAAAACAAGAACAAGAGAACACTGCATTTTCCCGTCACTGAATGGTGAGTGTGGATACCCTTGGCTAATGCCAGAGCAAGGGATTCACTTTCCAGTCTGTAACAGGCTGCTACAGAGTTTTAATGAACATAGTCAGTAGTATTGAAAAACATGAGCTGTCTGCCCACCTGGGTCCCGAAGTAAATGTGCCTGACTTCTGAACATGGGTCTCCCCTCCCTGTACCTCTAACTCTCCAATAAAGGAAGCAGAATCTCATACTTAACATGACAACCACAACAAATAATGTACTCGGGTGATTAATAACCCCACACTAAATTAGATATTTAAGTAAATATGATGTACAGTATCACGTGTGGGATCTGGAACTTACATTCCTCAATTTACAGCACTCCTTTACATTATTGCACTTTCCAATCAATAAATATGGTTCAAAACATTCACGGAAACAGTAACCCCCCGACTTCCGACAGTCACGGTACCCCAGGAAAAAACGGTCGAATCCTGCACAGAGAAAAAAGTCAGTTCAAGTCCCTGCTAAAATCCATGCTGCAATTTAAAAAAGAAGTTGGGAAAGTATGATACAACGTTGTAAAATCTTAGAGCATACTGACAAACGTTTCTCTGTATAGTCCCTTCATTTCATTATGCTCTTACCAGCGGAGCTTTCTGGCACCAGGAGGAAGACAGCAAAGAGAAGAAACAGAATCTTCATGGCTGAAGGTTGGCTGGGAACTCAATGTCACTGCTGTGTAAAGATCCCAAGTTACAGTGCTGCAATTGGTTAATAATAACGATTATTGTTCATCCAGCTCCATAAACCTTGCTGGAGAATATCAGGAAAAGACAGTTAAAAAATTCCTTTCCATAAGTAGTTGCAAAATATATATTTCCACCTAGCAAACATCAACTGCATGATTGGCGGTCCTCTGAAGCCTATGCAATGCCTCCATTTGCATTTAAATCAAAGTTTAGTTGGTGAAAGAAATTGACAACCACAGCTCTACCTGGGAAGCTTTGACAATAAGTGTGTGCATCTGCTTGTTTGTTTTGTACAATATTTAATGAATATTTTTATGTGTTTCGGGACACTTAAAATTTCTCCCGTCATATTCTTCCATTTCTGACTATTGATTTATTTCATCAATAAAAAGTCATGTTGGAAATCTGCAAAATTGTATTTAGTTTTCTTGCCTCCAGCAAAAGAGCAATCACTTCTCATTCTCTCTCCTCTGAATACTGGGAATGGGATGTATCCACAAATGGTTCACAGTATATGTGGAGACCATTCACTTTCCCATGTTCGGTGCAGTAACGGATCAGTCTTGGTACACTCTGGTTTTCCTCCACCTCTTCCTGAGTGTCAGTAGCTCTCTTGGCTCCCCTTTCACCCGCCCTCCCTCATTCACCAGCTTCCCCCTCTGGGTGTGAATGCACAAACACACATAGGATATTGGTACAATGGATAGAGAGCAGGCACACCAGGCTGCCACACCTCTCTCCAGCTTGCTCTGGTTCCTGGAGCTCCTTCTGCAACAGGGCCCTTGCCTAAAGCCGATAAGGTCAGTGGGTGGCTTTTAATTGGTTCCACTGGGCAACACTATGGATTTTGTAATGTGCCACTCACTCTGGGTTGGGATTTGTCAATTGTATTTCCCTTAAATGTGCCCAGAATTAGAATAATAGAATACTAGGACTGGAAGGACCTCGAGAGGTCATCGAGTCCAGTCCCCTGCCCTCATGGCAGGACCAAATACTGTCCTCTTAAATATCTCCAGAGATGGGGATTCCACAACCTCCCTGGGCAATTTATTCCAGTGTTTGACCACCCTGACAGTTAGGAACTTTTTCCTAATGTCCAACCTAAACCTCCCTTGCTGCAGTTTAAGCCCATTGCTTCTTGTTCTATCCTCAGAGGCCAAGATGAACAAGTTTTCTCCCTCTTCCTTATGACACCCTTTTAGATATCTGAAAAAATGCTATCATGTTCCCCCACAATCTTCTCTTTTCTAAACTAAATAGACCCAATTCCTTCAGCCTTCCCTCATAGGTCATGTTCTCTAGACCTTTAATCATTCTTGTTGCTCTTCTCTGGACCCTCTCCAATTTCTCCACATCTTTCTTGAAATGCGGTGCCCAGAACAGGACACAATACTCCAACTGAGGCCTAACCAGCGCAGAGTAGAGCGGAAGAATGACTTCTCGTGTCTTGCTCATAACACACCTGTTAATGCTTCCCAGAATCATGTTTGCTTTCTTTGCAATAGTATCACACTGCTGACTCATATTCAACTTGTGGACCACTATAACCCCTACATCTGCTAACTAACTAACATTAAGGCTGTAGGACCTTACATGGAGAAGGAATTCAGGAATTAGGGATGAGGACAGAAAGGAAAGGGGGATGAATGAGGGAGAAGGAGGGGAGGAGAGAAAAGAAGGGGCATGGAGTGAGCCAACAGGCGAGAAAGATGAAAAAAGGGTTAAGGTGAAGACCGAGAGAAGAATGTTCAGGAAGAGAAAGGACGGGGGTGACAGGAGAGCAGGCAGGAGGCAGGAGAAGGAGGGAGGCAGAGAGGAGAGGGAAGCAGAAAGAAGTTCTGTGTGGACAGCGCTGCCACAGCATTTCAAAGGAGTCCAGAGGTCCCGGCTACCGCTGCTTTTACTGCAGCAGTGGTAGCAGCTGGGAACTGTGGATTCCTTTCAAATGCCAGGCCCTTCTGCAACTGCCTCTTGTGCTCCCCCATCAGTGGGCCTGAATACAGCCTCTGCCTAGTTGAGGCTGTGACAAGATAAAAGATAAAGGATTGAAGGGTTGAGACATGAGAAGACCCCAACACGAAGGTGGATGCTAGGGTCCCTTGCTGTCGTGTGGTTCAATTTATTTTAGATCCTAGGGACACCAGGACACTCCAGAGAGACTTAACCACTTCCTCATTTATTACAAGCCTTCAAGCCGTTAATATAGTCCTTTAGGTTTTAGAAGCCTTGAAAACAATTACTACATAAGTTCAGCCTTAAATAGTATAAGTTTTAAAAACAATTATTGCAATACAAAACAATAGAAAAGCAAGGAAGAGAAGAAGAAGAAGAAAAGGAAGAAGACCATATTTCAGCCTCATTCACTTACAGTTTGTCCGTCTTCCGCCTACAGTAGCAGGCAGGAGGTTCGTGGTCCCTTTGTCTCTCACGTGGTCCCTTTGTCTCTCACGTTTTGGGATGCTGTATCCTGCAGTGGTGTGAAGGGACTTTTACTTTTAGTTACAATGAGCAGGACCTGTGGGCCCATCAGTTCTTACTAAGCCCATTTTATAGCAAAGCATGACATGGTCGTTCTAATAATATCTACCAATTAATGACATTGCATGTAAGATACCTAATAACATCTTCTATTCAGGATGTTGCAAAACTATGTTCTTGGTTACAATTTTTTATGGCTGTCTCTGCTTTTTGCTTATCAGAAATAAGATGTACTAGTTTACTCCCAGTTTTCTTGGCATGATCACACTGTGCTATGCTGGATATGCATGATTGTGCCCAAACGTTCCATTCCGTCACAAACATTCCAGCCCCTCAACGCCCCAGCTTTGCCCACATGTACCAGATTTGAGAGAGGCCTGGGTTTTGCTTTGTTAGAGATAAGTACTTTGGATAAAGCAGATTATGTTGTTTTGGTTATGACCCTGTTTGGAGGCTCCCCTACACTCTCCCTCTCTACCATGTTGAATCTGTGGTGATAGAGCACTTTGTCAGGAGTGTACCAATGTAACTGCTCTTGAATATGTGCCACATGAGACACCACACATCAGGTATAGAGACACAGAGCCAACCATACAAGCATTAACTTTGGTATACGTATTGTCGTGTGTTTCAGTTTTTAGATCCAAGTGAAACTAGGACACTCTAGGGGGATTTAACCACTTACTTAAGTACAGGAAGCTTTAAGCAGTTAATTTAATTAATTAACATACAATTTTAACCTTAAATACTGTGAATTCTAAAGCAGAGTGCAAAGCAATGCAAAAGCAATTAAGAGAAGATTATTATAACACCATAATTAAACCTAGTTCACTTACATTTCACCCGTATGCTCCCTACAGTACAGGCTGGAGGTCATGGTCCCTTTGATTCCCATGCCTCGGAACGCCACGCACTGACATTATTGAAGTGAATGGTCTATTACATCTAGTTACAATGAGCAGGAACAGTGGGTGAATTCTGCTCCCACCCTCCGATCAGCTCTTCTTACTAAATCCATTTTATAGCAAAGTGAGTCTTGGTGGTTGTAATAATATCTACCAATCAACCTCATATTGTGTAAGATACCTATTATGCCAATATTTGAGGTACATCCTTCTACTTAGGATGTTGCAAAACTAAGTGCTTAATTAACAGGTTTATGGCTGCATTTGGAATTTTTCGCTTATCAAAAATGGGATGTATCAGTACCAGGTTGTTTCTGGTCTTCTTGACAAAGTTTCGCAGGACCATGTAGTCTCTGCATGATTGTGCAAAGTATTTCTGCCTCTCACAGCTTCCCCCGCCTTGTCTGCGTGCTTACAGGAATCAGACTTGAAACAGACCTTGGGTTTGCTTTCTTAGAGATCTGTACATTGGACAAGGCCAGGACAAGGCCTAACAATGTAGACATTGTTGTTCTGGTCAAGGGAGGGCTGTTCAGACTCACCTCCACTATGTATACATAACAGTACAGTTGAATGGGTTAAAATGCTTAATAATGCCGTAGGTGTGGGAAAAAACCCTGCAGATATATTGTATAAATATTCCCTTGCTACTTACTTTATATCTGCTGCCAGCTTACACAACTGCTTGTAATGGTGTCTAATTATAATGGACACCTGCCTTTTTAAAAAAAATTGGTTAATTGCAAAGGTTTGCATACTAACACAAGCTATGGGCACGCCTTTCTTGGTAGTCAAACCTCTCAAGGTTTGCAGGAGCAATTCAAATATTCCTACCACCTTGTATAGAGGCGGAAGGGTGACATGGAGGTTGTTAATATGGGTGGAATGAAATCCAGCACTGTCCCATTTCATGACTTGATGATTTAGCTGCCTCAATTTCACCAATTTGTTTTTCACTGTTTTGCACTGTTTTCAGGGCTATTAAATTTACTAATCTAGTTCCCAGTTGGGTATCTTCTAGGGCTGCTTCTAGATCCTACTTTGCCCTTTGAGAATCCAGGTGTTGAGCATAGGATTAGCCCATCTATTACAATTGGGATGCATACAGGAAATATTAATATTCCATGTTAGTGTAATAAAATCCTCAATAATTCCAGGTGGAAATATTGCAGAATCTTTAGGCACAGTGTGACTGGAATGAGTGGGTACTTCTGCTGGGTTAGTGAGTTTGGTGGAGAGATAATACCATGCTGTGCCCCCACCATGCCAAAGTCCATTCATGCCCCCGTGTATATCCGAGTTGTTTAGCCCATTTTGTGTTTATTGTTTCCCCAAATGCCTGTTCCCAAATGCTTATTCTACTTGGATTTTTGTTACAATCAAGTGAGCCATTAATACCTGCAAATATAAATTTGAATGGAGAAGATAGGGCGATCAACTAGTTGCCTGAAGTGTTTGTACACTAATGCGAGAAGCCTGGGCAACAGACAGGAAGAACTGGAGGCCCTGCCCCAGTCCAAGAAATATGATTTAATTGGGATAACAGAGACTTGGTGGGATGACTCTCATGACTGGAGCACTGTCATGGAAGGGTATAGACTGTTCAGGAAGAACAGGCAGGGGAGAAAAGGAGGAGGAGTTGCACTATATGTAAGAGAGCACTACGATTGCTCTGAACTCCAGTATAAAGAGGGAGAAAAACCTGTTGAGAGTCTATGGGTTAAGTTTAAAGGAGCAAACAACAGCAGTGATGTTGTAGTTGGTGTCTGCTACAGGCCACCGAATCAGGTGGATGAGGTAGATGAGGCTTTCTTCGGACAACTGAGCGAAGCTTCTAGATCGCAGGCCCTGGTTCTCGTGGGGGACTTTAATCACCCTGACATCTGCTGGGAAATCTATACGGCAGTACACAGGCAATCCAGGAAGTTTTTGGAGAATGTTGGGGATAACTTCTTGACACAGGTGCTGAAGGATCCGACCAGGGGCCGTGCGCAGCTTGACCTTCTGCTCACAAACAGGGAGGAACTAATAGGGGAAGTGGAGGTGGGTGACAACCTGGAA